GATCGAACTGGCGCTGCAGAGGCTGCGGGCAGCTTCGCAACCCAGCGCTCAACCGCTGTGCCACCGGGAAGGCCCATAAATAACAATTTTTAATGAAATGATTTTTTTTCCAAAACAAACAAAAAATAGGATGGTCTCGTTTTCATTTATAAATTTCTTTATATCTAACTTAATCGAAAAAAGCTGGATTTTCATATATGTGTCTCTATTGCAATACATTATTTTGGTTGAAGTATATTAAAAAACCTAGCCTCACATAGAGCCATTGTTGGAAAAGGGAGGAATATTTTAATATTGTTGATATCAAGATTGTTGATATTCTTCTTTGCAATATGGAATCTAGGACCCTATCATGAAGTCTTTGTCCTTGTTTTATATTAAAATCTGTTGGTCCTTCTAACACTTTGAATGAATTTTTTACCAACACATAATTCTGTAATTTTGTGCTTTGGACATAAGCTTCAGAGTTATGTAGGTCTTTCAAATGTTTTCCCATTTTATTCTATAATATTAAAAGATAACATTTGTTTACATCACCACTAATTTCATCATCAGGTTTTGAAATATTGGGAAGCTGGTGGTGGATACAAGTTTTCCAAAATTCTGATTTTTCCTTGAAAGCTTTGGCTTGATCACGGGTCACAATAAAATGTAGTTTTCCCTGGAGCTCATTTTGTTCTTTTTTTTTTTTTGAGGAAAATGTCTGCCAGTACTCAAGTCCAAATAACCATAGTTTGTCAGTTCATTCTTTCAAGTAAAAAGGTGTTCCATGCAAAAAGGCTTCCCCTTTGATTTTACTCTTTTTTATTGAGGAAAATCTAAAATGCCCTAGCTTGATACTTCTCAGGCCAAGACAGTAGAGTATTGGGTCTGGTCTGATAGGGGAGCAGATACAGGTTTTAGCTGTTGCACATGCCATCCTTCTGGGGTGGGAGTGGCCCAGTCGAGGGTTCATCTGGCTCCTTGCGTGCTACAACATGGGTCCCCTGTGTGAATAACTCCATGCTCTGCAGAGATTCCGGTTTTGCTCAGAGTGAAGCCAAAGTAATTTGGATGCTTTTTTGAACAGACACAAAATCAAGTGAATCACTAGAACCTTTCCTTCCTCTTCTCTTGTCTCTTGCCTAAGATTTGGCCTGTATCTGGAGAAACTGAAATTTAAACTGAGATGAGAAGGAATAATTAATTGTTGTCCAGTATAGGAATCAGTTCCACCAGCCTTTATGGTGAAGTGATTGGATGTTTCATTTTTTGAGAAACATTTATTAAAATCATATTCTTTGTGTGAGAATAGTATACTGGGTGTTAAAATATAGCTTGCGAGGAGCACCTAGCTGAAAACCAGGGCATGAGGGGTCATGATTGCCAGGAATTTGGAAAATGTCAGGGGTTTGCCAGTCAAAGGGAATTCTGAATCAAGAACTTTTGTTTGCTAAAGCAAAAATGTAGAGAAACAGGTATAGTACCTCCTGAATATAACATCTCCAGGGCTTGGGATTCTCATCATCCACTCACAGTAAAAGTAGAGATGAAAATAGCAGGGAGAAAAGCCCCACGGCCTCGATGGGTTTTGCACCTGAGGTCAAGTGACAAGGCTTAAGATTATGACAGCTCTAGGAGTGACTCCATAACTGGACCTAGAAAGAACTTGACATAATAGATAAACTAGTCTCCATGTTAGACTTATTAAAAACAGAACAACCAAAGGGCCTAGATAATAGATGGAGCGCCTGCAGCATGGATCCATTGAGCTAAGTGTTTTGCATTTCTGATGTCATGTAATCCTCTGTGCAACCTTAGCAATGTAGGTGGTATGCCAGCTTCAGTGAGGACGTAATTAGCTTTCCAGACCCTGTGCTTTCCTTTAACTGGAGAGACAGCTTGTCCTGTAAATTCACTTCCACTGATAGCTAATCTCATTTATTATGTGGACCAATTTGGCTCTAGGGAGAGGCATATTATTTCCTTGAAAAAGGGCTTCTCAGTGTAATCCCCAAGGAATAGTCTTCTACTCCGCCACACTCCAGACAAACCATTCAGGTAGAGGATTAGGGTGGGGAGTAGTGCTTTCTCTGTGGGAAGCAATAATTTCAAGAGTGTCTCACCAAGCTGCCTGCCAGCTGTATTGCCTTGGGGACGCTTAACAAGTCTGACTTAGCTACTATATGCACAGCTGAGCCTAGATCCTGTGCTGCACCATGAAGGATCCAGACAAGGCTCAGGCATGGTGCTTGCCTTTTGGGAGCAGAACCTTCTAGAAGGGACAGAAGAGGCAAGTAAATAAATTAAGTGAGAGACGCGGAGTACTGTGGAGATATGGATAGGAGGGAGAGGTGAATTACTGGGGAACTCTAAGAAAGCCTGGATGAGGTTGGATTTCAGCTGGGGCTTTAAGCAGAGATCCCCTTTAACAAAGGCACAAAGTAGGAAATTGTAGAGAGTATTTGGGGAACTGAGGGAATGCTTCATGAGGTTGAGTGTAGAGCTTAAAATGTCTCAGAGTCACCTTAGACTCATTGCATATGAGACATTATAAAATATAGTGACCATATGGTCTAGTCCTGATTTAATTGCTCTCATCATGTTCATAATTAGCACCTGTGTTGAGCAGTATGCTTATGTGCCTGACCCTAGACTAGGTACTTTATCATATTTAATGCTCATAGCTGACCCTACAAGTTAGGACTTCATTCCGCCTTATAGATGGAGACAGAGTAAGTAGAACTTGCATCACACAGCTGGTAAATAATGGAGGCCCAGGTTTAATGCCAAAGCCAGTGTTGTTTCTACCATACCTCACTAGTACTTTGACACTAAATACAGTCACCTTGATCACACATTTAACTTATAACAATTTTCTGTATTTACTTTCAAAAGAAAATAGAAGAGACATTATTACACATTGTCGTATCCATTATACATTTGGTATCCATTATACATTTGAATTCTTGATCGTCCCTACAAAACCAGGTGTGTTGTACTTCACCAGCTACATGAAGAATTTCAAGAATAGTTTGACTCATACAAGATTTTCATCTTATGTAACAACTTTAGACTCTATCACCCAAATGAAATGAAATTATTATAATAAAATTACATGTCCTGCTATTTGCCTTAAGAATATGATCACCATCATATTTCTCACAGGAGAATGACTTGGGTGTTAGCCTCACCTCTTGCATGTGTTACCATGGCACTTTGTAACTGTGGAGTTTCCTGGGTACACTTCTCAAAAAAGGTCTCCATTGCCTTAACTTCCACCCCTGGATACTTGCCACCCAGGTCAGAAGGCTATATCCTTTTACAGTTGCCATTAAGCAACTGCCTTGTTCACAGAAATGTTCCCTTGACAGTGTCTCACACTAGTTCCATATGTAGGATTTCTCTCTGGTACTCTTTTTCCCAGGTCCTTATACTTCCCCAAATGTTTCATTCTGCTCCTGATGCAGCTGTTTTGTTCCTTTCTTTTTCTAGAAACCAGGGACCCAGGTCATTATACTTGTAACATTACAATTTAAGGATACCCTGATATTTAAGGGTTTAAGGATACCCTGATAATGGTTTTATTCCAGGAAGATGATGGCATTTATTTTATTGGGAGGATGAGGATGATACCCTTATTCCTTTCTTAGGTGTCTGCAAATACCTGTTACCTAGTGGTAGGTAAGTTTGGAAGGTACAACAGTTAACTATTGCATGTAACAAACCACCCCAAAACTTAGTTGCTTCAAACAAACTACACCATTTATTATTTCTCATGACTTCATGGGTTGATTGGGGGTTTCTGCTAATGGGGCCAGCTTGACTGAACTCATCTGGGCTCACACATATATCTGATCCACTGGCCAGTCACCTGGGAAAATGCACTTCTCCACACATCTCACGTCACTTCAGCAACTAGCCTGGTCGTGCTCTCATGGCACAGCAGAGGTGCAAGAGCAAACAAGACCAGCCATGCAAGGAAGCAAGCAGAAATGCATACACACTTTTCAAGCTTCTGCTGGCAGCATGTTTGCTAAGATCCCATTGGCCAAAGAAAGTGACATGACCTAGCCCAGTGTCAGAGTAAGTGGGGACTACCAAGTTTTGCAGGCTATAAGAAGGTCATGAATTAGGGTCAGTGTGTTAGGAAATCTATAGATTTATATTTCTAAGTCAAGTTTGTCCTAGAAGGGAGAAAAAGTCCGAATAGTAATTACTTTGTATTGGGCCTATGGTATGGGCATGCACAGGGCTAGGCACTTTCCCTGTTTATGCACTGAGCCTCATACAACTCTGCAAGGTAGGTAGGAAATCAGACCTCAGGAAGTTAAATAACTCGCTCAATGTCACCCAGCAAATATGGTCAGGCGGGGATTGAAATGCTTGTTGGTCTGACCCCAGAGTTCAGGTTCTTGTCACTACACCTCACTACCTCTCAGAAGCACTTTCCTGCCTTATCATCCCTCCAATTCAGTTGAGTTGATGCTGTGCAAACCCTTTCTCTAAAATGCTGCTGATCCTAATGGAATTGTGCAGCTTGGGAAAACCCACATGTTCTCTCACACACTGCAATAACTGAACGTATTCTTTCCTTTTAGAGGAGGATTGGTCTGTCAGCTACACGGACAGCCTAAGAATTATGGTCTCTCCCAGCCATGCGAGAGAAGGAAGGGCCATCTTCTCTTTAACCTTCAAGATTTGGGGACATTGGGGCATTAGGGCATTTGAGCATGAGCTTTGCTATCAGCCTCACCAGAGTTCAAATCCTAGTTCAGCCACTCACTAACTCTATAACTTTGACCAGCTTACTTAACTTCTTGAAATCTGTTTCTTCATCTTAAAAAAAGTGGGAATAATAACACCTAGTTTGCAGAGCTGTTACAAGGACTAAAATTATGTATATAAAGTGCCTAACCCAGTGCCTGGTACGTAATAAGTGACATTATTGGCATTGTTGATACTATTTCTAAGCAGAGCCTTTCCCCTCCTGGGAAACCCTGTTTCTGTCTGTTGGACAGGTTCCCCCCACCTCCAGCCAGTCTGTGCAGACTTGCTGCCTGCTGTGTCATCGGGAACGCAAAGGCTGGGAAGAAGGCCCTTCCCAAAACGGACTGGTGTTGCAGGGTGAGAAGCTGCCCCCTGACTTCATGCCAAAGCTCGTCAAGAATCTCCTAGGCGAGATGCCTCTATGGGTCTGCCAGAGTTGCCGAAAGAGCATGGAGGAAGATGAAAGGCAGACAGGTCGAGAACATGCAGTGGCGGTAGGTAACCGCTGAGCAGCAGGATCCCCGAATGCAGGAGGGCTGCCTGCACAGGGAAGGCAGACCATTAAACTATTCCTTACCCATCCTCTCAGGTGGCTCAACTCGGGTTGCCCTGTGCCCAGGTGATGACTGGCTGCTGGGCTGCATCCACACAGCATTAGCAGCTTGGGTTAATGGAGGTGGGCAGAAAAGAGGGGCTACCAGCAGCCCACCTGACCCCTGAGCAGAGTCTGAAGGCACGCTTATAGGTTCTGGTGGAGCTCAATCCTGCCCCTTCCTTGTGGTCATGCTGCCTTCAATTCTGTGGCAGCTTGAAGTACCAGCCAGAGTGGTGTGGAAGACAAAGGTTGGTCTGAGGGTCTGCAGTGTGCCTCGGTTAGCTAGCCTCCGGGATGTCTGGGCACTGAGTCTGCCATTTCCTGAATCACAGCAGTCAGACTTCCCTTGTCTGTCATTCCCCTCTTGACCTTCTCTTTTATGTAGGATCAGTTTAGCCTCAGCAGTCCTGCCTTGGAGGCCCTTCTTCTCCTTGGCAGCTCTGAGGACTCCTGAAAGGCCCACAATTGACAGGTAGCTGCTCCCCCTACCAGAGTCTCTCCCACCAGTATCCACACACTTCGCCAGGAGCCCCACTGCTAGCCCAGTGAAGGCAGAGCCTGGCCTGCATTGGCCTATTCCTGGAATTGTGGGGCCTGTGGTTAGGCCTTTGCATGGGGCCTAAAGGAGGAAGTGCTCCTGGGTAAGCTTAGACAGCAAAGGGGCCGCTCTTGTGTCTGCTGTTTTCCGATGAACTTTTTTCTCCCCCCTTCTCCAGATCTCCTTGTCACACACATCCTGCAAATCACAGTCTTGTGGGGGTGACTCCCACTCCTCTTCATCGTCCTCTTCATCGTCCTCATCTTCCTCCTCCTGCCATGGGAACTCAGGGGACTGGGATCCCAGCTCCTTCCTGTCAGCACATAAGCTCTCGGGCCTCTGGAACTCCCCACACTCCAGTGGAGCTGTGTCAGGCAGCTCGCTCGGGAGTCCTCCCACCATCCCTGGTGAGTCTCCAAGCGTGGGGAGAGCTGGGCCCCACAACCGTAGAAAGCTGTTGTTTTCCTTGCCACTTTGTTCAGACACACCAGGAAATCAGCTGCTAAAATAAGTAAAAGGGGAGCTGTTGTGATGGTGGCAGAGGGAATGTGAGTAGTCCTTGACTGTCCCTGTGGGATTCCTTTCCCCATGACTGTGAGCTATCGCTATCACTTGCTCTCCTGGCTGTTCCCTTTGGCTCCAGGAGGGGACTTGGTGAGTTCTGACTGAATAGAAAGTGGAGTCTGGGAGGGCCCTTAAGGAACTAGAACCTAGATTACCTAACACCTGACCACCCTTGCTGCGGCACAGAAGGCCTAGTGGCTTCATCTTCGTCAGGAGAGAGGCAGTGTGTGCTGCTGTGATTACTGGCCACAGCTATACAAGCCTTCTTAAACCCAGAGAAAAAACACTGACTTATTGATGTACTATGTAAATATAAATTACTACTTCTAAAGGGAGGGACTAAATTCTTCAAAGAGATCCTGCCCCAGAATTGTGAGAGCTGAGTAGTATATAATTCCAGTTAGGTTGGTACATGAGCCAGTCATCAATGCATTTTCCCATTTCTCTGAAACCCGGGGCCACCTGAGAGCCTGGCTTACCTGGCTGCTCTGTCCACAAGGCTGAGGCAGACCCTTGGCCTGCTGCTCCATTGGCTTCAGCAGATCTTCCTCTGGGCCTGAGAACACCTGTGACATACAGGTCCTTGAAAGACTGATCACTGGTCCCATTCATGCCAGTCAAGGAGTAGCCTTCCAGGAAGCCTGCATTGCTGGTGCCCGCTCCCTCAGACTTGCATTCCAGCCTGTACTGGAGCTGCTGCCCCAGAGAAACCTCAAGCCCAAAGCGCTGCTGAGCTCTCCCAAAAGCTCAGGGTCCCACTGAGAGGCCAGGCCCAGGCTGGTCCCATCTGGTCAGTCAGAAGGACTCTGTGGCAAGAAGCCCTTGGGCTTTCCTGCCCAGGACCCCAGCGCCCACTCTGATGCCTTTCTCCCCGCCCCATCCACAGGTGAGGTTTTCCCCATCTCGGAGCACCACCGGCACTCAGACCTCACTGCTCCGCCTAACAGCCCCACCGGCCACCACCCCCCGCCAGCATCATTGATCCCATCTCACCCCGGATCTTTTGACTCACCACCCCACCCACACCTGCTGCCCACCACCCCAGCAGCACCTTTCCCTGCCCAGGCTTCAGAGTGCCCTGTTGCCGCTGCTGCCGCCCCACACACACCAGGGGCCTGTCAGAGCCCCCACCTGCCCTCCACCAGCATGCCGCTCCTGAAGATGCCTCCGCCATTCTCGGGGTGCAGCCACCCTTGTAGTGGGCACTGCAGCGGGCACTGCAGTGGGCCTCTCCTGCCACCACCGAGCTCCCAGCAACTCCCCAGCACTCACAGGTGAGCAAGCAAGCAGCGTGAAGGGCAAGCTCCCTGCTGACTTGAACGTAGAGTTTTTAAAAATTTGCCATTGGTACCTTTGGGGTGGGAATTAAAGGGAAGACTATGTTTTTCTGATTATAAAAGAATGTTGTGGTTATTTTTTTTTAACTTAGAACAATTTAGAAATGTATAAAGAAGAAAATACCCTCACAATCTAAAGGTAAACTTCTAACGCTGCAGTGTTAGCTTCTTGATGTTTCCGTATGTATTGATAAATGACATAATTTGATCTCTGTCCTATTACACTTTTGTGTAGTGATTTTTTTTAACTTTATAATCATAATCATTTCCCTAGTTAAAGTTGTTGGAAAACTTTTTACTGGCCACTATGTTTTATAGTATAACAGCACTGGCTGAACATTTAGACATTTCCAGGTTTTTTACCATTATAGACAAGGCTGTGATAAGCATCTTTGTACCTAAGTCTGTTTGATTCAGGAATTACATTGTTAAGGTAGATTAGCTAGTAGTAACTCATAGTTCAGAGAAAAGTTATGTTAACATATATTTGAAAGATAAAAAATTTTGGAGAAGACAGCTGCTATATTTTTGTGTTATAAATCAGGTGTGTGTTTATTGCACATTTGTGGGTTCCCTTTCTAATACCCCACCTCCCCATACAACCACTGCACTTTTCTCCTCCCATGTCTGTCCCACATGGTGTGGTAGTGTCAGTACTGTTTTCCCGCTGCCCTGCACTTCATGAGGTTCCTGTGTGCGCTTCTGTTCCCTTGACCTTAAGGCCAGAGAATGTTCCCCACAGTGTGCTTCACTCTGTTCCAATTGCTGAACATTTGGGTCACTCCAACATTTTAACATTATAAATATCCCTAAAGATGTCTTTGCCTAAAGTATGTTTCCTCTTTTGGGTTTTTCTCCTTAGAATATATCCCTCAGAATGAAAAATTCTGTTAAAGGTGTTTTTTGTTTTGTTTTCATTTTTGAGAAGAGTTTGCATTTCACATTGAAAAATTGCTTTCCAAAGTGTTGTCCAACTTGATGTAACCACCAATATTAGTATGCTTGTTTCTCCATATTCTCAGGAATATGGTATTTTAATTTGCTAATATAATAGATGAAGAATAGTCAGTTTGACTTAAACTTCTCTGAGCATCAGTGGTAATGGTTCCTGCCTATCCTTTTCCACCTCTTGCCCCATGGAGACTGAGCCTCCTCCCTAATTCCCCCAGCTCCCACTGCTTAGCTGTGGCCCCAGCCCAGGCACTCCAGCTGCTGATGCCCAGCCCAGGGCCCTGGCTCCAATTCCAAACCTTTCAGGCCTATGTCTCATCCTCGCTTTGGGGAAATCATATATATTACAAGATGCTCCAGGGCTTTGTGACTACAGAAGCAGAGTAATGCAGTGGGGCGCTTAACACAAAGAGACATGTGGGCAGGGTCCTGGCCACTCCTTGGACAAATCGATTAGGCACTCTGATCCTCAGTCTGCTCCATTGCCAGGTGGGGAGAGCCACACTTGTTTGGCAGGATTTAGAAAGTGCATGCTGAATACAATTCCTGGCCTACACAGTAGCTCCCCATAGTCTGTGGCCCACAGGTAAGTTTACTGACATAAGAACCTTCAAGAGTGAAAGGAGACTGACCTTGTTGGATGTTCCAGGTAGCCATCTGCCCATTCATCTATTCAGTACCTACTAACCAAGCACCTGCTGTGTGCTACAACATACAGTAGCACTGTAGTGGGCACTGCAGCACACACTGCCACAGTGTGCTACTGTGGCACTGTCCCTACTCTTGGGGAGTGCACCATCAATCTGAGAGACAAACAGGCAAACAGATCATCACTGTAAAGCTGGGCCCTGAGTGATGGCAGAGATGGTGTTCACCCTGTTCTGTAAGAGGTGCTGATCCTGCCTGATGCCTCAGCCTTCGAGGGATAGTCACAGTGGGGCTTCTTTCCCAGGCTCCTCTGTGGCCTCTCCCTACACTGCCCACCCTCACCTTTGGGCATGTCTTTCTCCCCCGGCAGCAGGGACCCCGGGTGCAAGGGGCACAAGTTTACACACAGTGGCCTGGCCTGCCAGCTGCCCCAGCCCTGCGAGGCAGATGAGGGGCTGGGCGAGGAAGAGGACAGCAGCTCAGAGCGCAGCTCCTGCACCTCGTCCTCCACCCACCAGCGAGATGGGAAGTTCTGTGACTGCTGCTACTGTGAGTTCTTCGGCCACAATGCGGTGAGTGAGCCTGTCTGGGCAAGAGAGGACTGGGGCTGGCCCAGGTGAGCCAGATGAGTGCCCTGCTCTCCCCAGAGCCCCCTTTGTTCCGGGCATAATAGCTACACTGGGACCCGCAGGTCCTCACCCCTGCATCCACTCGCTTGATCCTCACAGCACATTTGTGAGGTAGGGATTTTTCAACATTTTGCTATCTTTGCTGTTTTCGTGGTTTCTCTTAAGATTGACTTTTTTTCCTTAGGCAAAAGGAAAGGAAATGGCAGAGAGAGAGCTCTGATTCTGATGAGTATACGTGTGTAATCACAGAGAAGTAAAGGCTTGTGCGTGATGAAGGCAGAGTGGAAGCAAAGGCTCTCAGTCCCCCAAGTGTGAGAGCCAGCCAAGGGACGGGCCATGAGCGCAGATGGCTCCAGGAAGGAGCTCAGAGCAGAGTACATGCTGTCTCTGGACAGGGGGAGAAAGCAGTTCAGAAGTCTCATAAGGTGAAGAGGAAAGGGCTGCCGGCCAGGGTAGCGCAGTGGAGGACAGAAGAAGTGAAAGTAATGACATTGCTAGTCACCTTTGAGCTAGGGGTGATTATCCTCATTTTAGAGATGACAAAATTGAGGCTCGCAAAGACTCAGTGACCTGCCCAAGGTCATACAGCTTCCAAGTGACAAAGCCCGGGCTCCAACCTACTTTTCTGGCTCCTGAGTCAGTGTGCTCCCACCACTGTCATGTGCCACCATCTCCTGCCACCCACCACTGCCTCAGCTCAGGGCCTGGCTGAGGGTAAAGCCATTTGGTCTGTGTGGCTATGGTAGAGAGAACAGTTGCCAAGCTCCTCACCACGTTTGGTGCCAGCGGGTGGGAGTGCTCCGGGCCTCCCAGGCCCAGGGTGTAATGTCAGCACCTCCCCCTCCCCCAGCCACCCGCTGCCCCGACGAGTCGGAATTATACCGAGATCCGGGAGAAGCTCCGCTCAAGGCTGACCAGGCGGAAAGAGGAGCTGCCCATGAAGGGGGGCGCCCTGGGCGGGATCCCTGGGGAGCCCGCCGTGGACCACCGAGATGTGGATGAGCTGCTGGAATTCATCAACAGCACGGAGCCCAAAGTCCCCAACAGCGCCAGGGCCGCCAAGCGGGCCCGGCACAAGCTGAAAAAGAAGGTGGGTGTGAGGGGGAGCCCAGCTCTACCACTTCTCCCCAAGGAATCCCTCACGCAACCCCCAGCACATCTGGGGCATGAATGGTGCTGGCTGCCAAAGGCCTCAGCACTGCTCACTGCTCTGGGAAGGTCTGAATGAGTTTGGGAGGCATCAATGGGTCAGGGAGCTTGGGACCAATGATTGGAGGAAAAATGAGTCTGGGCCTCAGAAGCCGCTGACTGGATTCCTCAAAGCCCAGGACTCGCTTCGGTCAGTCACTTACTTATTCATTCAACAAACACTTCTGCAAATCCTGGGAGCCAGAGCGTGACACAGTTCCGTTCTTACCCTGGAGAAACTCAGTCTGGTGGAAAGACTGCCACAAAACTGGACGAACACATTAGTGTGTGACCAGCCCTGTGGTGAGGTCACAGTCCTGCCTGGGCTGCTGGAAAAGACTGTACCAAGAGGCTGACTTGGGAGCTGAGTGGTAGGGCATGAGTTCACACTCCAGGGCCCTCCTGGCAGTGGGCATGGCACATTCCACAGCCACTCATGATTTCCTGAGTGCCTACAGGGGTGAGGTAGGACAGATAGTGGAGGTCAGTGAGGATCTCACAGGCCCTGTTCAAGAGCTTTTGACTGGATCGTACAGGTGAGGGGAAGTCCCTGGAGGGCTTTAATCAACGACTGCAGTTGGCCTGATCTGTATTCTGAGATTACATTGTGACAATCTGGAAGGTCACCTGGAGGCATGATACTTGAGGCAGGAAACCCTGAGCCAGGGAGAGATGACTGATGGCGGGGCGAGGGCAGAAGATTTTTAGAGGAAGCAGAAGTGGCAGACTTTGCTGATCTGTTGGCAGGACAGAGAGATGAAATCAGGGATCTCTCCCAGGTGGCGAGATGGTATGCCTTCCGTTGTGCAAGGATGAATTGGCAGAAGATAGGGACTTCAGTTAGGGCATGTTGACTGGAGCTTCTCCTGAGACATCAACAGGAGGTGTGGGGTTGGGAGTTGCCAGCATGGAGATGTAATTGAAGCCATGGGACTGACCCAGTTTAGTGAGCACCTCTCAAGGGCTAAGGATAGAACCCCGTGAACCATTCCCAGCAGCTCTGCTGCTAGGCAAGCCCTGGGGCTTGATAGCATGTCCCCTGCTGCCTTGTTACCCTGTGGCCAGCCTGTCCCCAGCTGCAGGAGCACAGCGCCACCACACTTGAGAGCCCAGCTGTGGAAGAGATTGGGTATGACAGGTAGTCCAGGTCTTGGGTGGTCAAATAGCCTTCGTGTTCTGGAAAACAGCACTGATTCTGCATCTTTTTCCAGTCAAAGGACAACCAGGACCCTTTCCCTGCAACCTGGAGTAGTGATTCCATGGGTCCCACCACTGCTTTTGAACTCTTTATTCCTCCCATGCAGTGTGACCTGGCTGGAAGTGTTGAGTAGGCTGCCATTGTAGACTCTTTGGCCTCTTCTGGCCTCAAAAGGCAGTGGTTCCCAGTTATTTCCCAGAGAGCGCACTCTGCAATTCTCAGGACTGCTATACTTAATTCTGTATCCCCACATGATCTTTCCCCTTTACCAACAGTGCTCCTTTTCCCCCCTTTTCCTCCTGTCAGCTTTCCTTCCAAGCTCAAGTCCAATGTTTCCACCTTTGCAGACTTGCGTGGGTAACCCCTTACACTTCCACTACACCAGGCACACCTCCCTAGACTGCTGATGAGCTCACACTACTCCCTCGTTCAAAAACTCTTGGCTCAGCCCATCCTGTCCACTCAAGAGGCCAGGATACAACACAGAAGCAGGCAGGCAGATGTCATATAAGAGGCACTCATGGTCATATGTTTTTACATCAACCTCCTCACTGACGATCCCCTCCTCCTGGCTGTAACTACAGCCTGGCTGTCCACCAGAAACACAGCTTCCCCCAGGAGCCATCCAGTGGCAACTGCTAATTCTCTCCCACCTCTGGAGGGGGTAGAGCTGAGTGTCTTTCTGCTCCCTTATACTACTCCAGATCTCAACCCTCTCGCCTTCATGTACTGCCCCTGCTACTCTGAAAGTGTACTCCTGGCTTTGTCATCTGCAGCTGCCTAGCCCCCTCTTCCACTGAAGACTGCCACCTGCCCCTTCTTTTCCCAGGCCATCTGACATCCCTTAACCATCATTACTTACTTTCTTACCTATACTCTCAAGTCCTTGCCTATTGCCCTTCACAAAAACTGTAGCCCAACCTGCCTCTTCCTTCTACGTATGCCAGGAGAGAAGCGCCTGCTTGAATCTCTCTCTGGCTGCCTGGCACAAGGCCTCTGCTCACCTCAGCCCCAACATTGCCGAGCAAGCCTCTTGTAGCCTCCTAGTTAGTCATCTTGCTTCTGATCTCTTCCATTCACAACTCATTGGTTAGACCTTCATCTCCAACCTCCAGTCTGCACCACCACCCCACCCCCCCCGATTTGGGGACATTTGATAAAATTTCCTGATTCAAGGAGGAGGAATAAAAGCTAGTGGACAAGTCCTCTTTCAAGGTCTTATAAGCCTAGGGGCCTCCCCGGTGGTGCAGTGGTTGAGCGCTGGGTTGCGAAGCTGCCCGCAGCCTCTGCAGCGCCAGTTCGATCCCCGGCTGCTCCCCGCCCACGGAAGGAGGGTCCCACATGGCGCGCAGACCTCTCCTGCCGCCCGCTGCTCCCCTCAGCAGTGTACTTTGGTCCTTCTGCCTGCTCTGCTCCCCGCTCTGGCTCTGGTGAATTCTCTCACTCTCCCATGCTTCTGACTGTACCCAGTGCTTGTATAAATAAATAAATAAATCTTTTTTTTTTTAAAAAAAAAAAAGGTCTTATAAGCCCACCTGCAGACATCATCTTGTCCTAAAAGAGATTGTTACCTCTTTCTTACTTGAGACCCATGCAGTCCTTTCTCACCTCCTCAGTCAAATGTGTGTGGTTCCAGCTCCTCTACACTCTTTCCCAGTAGCATTTCACTGTTTCCAGTACAGTCTTTTGAAAGCAGCGTATTCTTTGAACATACAACCTCTCTCACTTCTGTAGATTTTCCCTCACATCAGAGCCAAATTCTTGAAAATGTCTGTGATCACTGTCTTCACTCTTCTTGTTGGCCCACTGCCAATTGTTTTCACCCACCCACCCCCCCTCCTCTGGGTGCAATGACTTCTCCGTTGCCAAATCCACAGCATACTCTCCTGCTCCATCTGCTTTGTCCACTGGGCAACCTTTTACAGTTTGTGTTTGTTTTTCTTGTCACACATTATTTTCTTGGGCTCCTTGGTCTTCAGCCAAGAGGGAAAAGCAGAGGGCACCCCGTTTTCTCCAAATTTCTCACCTTCCTCTCCGATCCATGTTCTCTCTCCTTTATGAACCCCTGTGCTTCTGCCTAACCCTTTGTCAGGTACATTAGGTCCTGGTTTATTAGATCCACTTACTTTCCCAGCACTTCACATTGATGTCTCCTGCTACCAGGCACCTCCTCATGGACGTTCCCCAGGTGTTCAGATTGTGCACATCCAAAACTGAGCTCCTCCTCTTTCTCCAAAGAGGCCTGCTCTTCCTTCTCCGTTGGCTGTCTGGTTAATGGCACCACCATCCACCCAGTGGCCAGAACCAGTCCCTGGGTGCCATCCTGGGAGAATGAATACTTCGTGGTGATTGAGAGCAGCGGGCCTTGGAATTGGACCTCAGTTTGAAATCCAGCTCTGCTACACTTTGCTGTATGACCTTGGGCAAATCACTTAACCTCTAAGCCTCAGTTTCTTCATCCATAAAATGAGAATAACACTAGAACCTAACTCAAACTGTTGGGAGGATGCAGGACAGCAATGCACAGAAAGGCTGGGCAGTGGACTTTTAGTTGGTGTGTCCTCTGTGGCAGCAGTAATGGTTGTCGGTGTTGTTCTTGTGACTCATATCTCTCCCCACCCATCACCAGGAGTCCTGACCGTGTCACTTTTCACACTTCTCTCAGCATACTGCCACTACTTAAAAAAGCCTTCAGTGGCCGAACAAAACTGAGCCAAGGCCTACAGGGTTCTTTAGGATGCAGCCCCTACTTGCTTGCCACCCTGCTTGCCAGTTTTGTCTCATAGTCTTGCCCTTCTAGCCTTCCTGCCCCACCCTCCACCCCCAGAAAGAGGTTGAGTTCCAGCTATGTCTCTGAATGTCTCCATTCCCTAAAGATTTTGTGCTTTTCCATTTCCCAGGCTTTATGCTTGCTCTTCTCTGTTTAGAAAGTTACTGTCTCACTCTGCAAGATAATCCCAATCACCATCAGTGCTGGGAGCTACTGCCTCCTCTGGGAAGCACTCCCTGCTGTCTCAGTCTGGGTTCTCATAGCACTCTATGCTTGCTTTCCTGTAGTGCTTGTCACTATCACCAGAATTAAACAGCCTGTCCTCATGTGTGGCTCCCCAGCCAGTCCAAGCCAGCGAGCAGAGACTGTGTCTCCTGCATGGCTGAATTCTGCTGAGAGAAAGCTTGTCAGACAGGATTGAAAAGCACAGGAACTGTAAAGAGCACTCCTGAGTGTGCTGGTCCTGACTGTGCCACTTACTAGTCATGTAGCCTTGGGCCATGTGACCTTGTTCTTTGGGTTCCCTCATCTGTAAATTGAGGATAATGATGCAACAAGGCAGCTGTGAGGATTAAGTAAGAGCATTTGAGAAGTTCCAGACTCGTGGTCTATAGCAGAAAACATGGGGTCCTGTGCTTTCTCCTCTTACTAACAATTTCTACGTGGTTCCCCCTACACCAGTAGTTTACAGACTTCTGTTTAGTAGCAGAACTCTTTTCTGCAAATGAAACCTTCCATGGAACCTCAAACTTTTAACAAATAAAAGCAAAGCAGTTCTGGTGGGGCCTAACCTGGTGGCGCAGGCGGTTGAGCGCAGCGCTGTATAGCTGTCTGCAAGGCAGGTTTGATCCCGGTCAGCAGGCGAGAATCCTACATGGTGCAGCAGACCTCTTCTCTCTCACCTGCTGCTCCCCTCAGCAGTGTATTTCAGTCAGTCTGCCTGTTCTGTTCCCTGCACTATCTCTGGTAAATCCTCGCACCCTCCCGTGCATCTGGCCTGTACCCCAGTTCTTGTATGAATGAATAAATAAATATTTAAAAAAAAAAAAAGCAGTTCCGGTGCAAGAGAGGAGCAAAACAAAGACCTTCCAACCTGTGTCTGTCCCTGTGCCTTGCACACCATGCCCACAGCTTGGAACTCCGTGGCCCACACTGGTACCCTGCTGTACACTGAGCAGCTGCCTCACCTGAGCATCACAGTGCCAAGGAACAGCCTTGTTTGCAACAGGGAAACAGGCACACATCCTCTCAGGTATCATCAGAGCAACCCTGTGAGGTATATAGGTGGTTAGTTTTCTACTCAGATTTACATGCAATTTGTGTAAGGTTCAGAAATAAGTGATTTGTCCAAGGTCCCACCAGTCTCCTACTCAGTTGTGGAGCCAGTATTTAAAAAAGATGAGAGAAGAAATACATGCATGCCCGCGGGGCACAGGTCGCCCTCTAAGTGGACTCTGAGGTGATGGCTAGCCCTCTTTTCTGCCCCCAATTTTCTTTTCCTGTTTCTCCCCCTCATTCCCAAATCAGCTAGAAATATGTGGAATGGTAGGAGTCATCCAGCCCCTGGCATACTGCCACCACCTCCTTTCTGTAGACTTTGACATCTGTTTCCTGTATCCCTCTGCAGGCCTCCTTGGCCTGCTGGTCCTTGAGCTTGGGCAGAGGGGTGGAGTGATGGAACCCACAGAATTTCAGTTTCCGGATCCGACCTCCCTGGACCTCACCTGGGTGAGGGGGCTGCCTTGACATCTTTCTGTGAGGCTGGTGGGGCTGTTTTGTGTGCCATTGGGCACCCCTTAGGGGTGACCTTGATTACGTGAGGCCAGCCAAGTAGTGCATGACCTTCCTATGGGAACTTTGCCCATAAACAATGTCGGGAGGCACCCAGAGCAGCCTGACCACCTTGGTTGTTCTATAGCCCCACCTCTTCTAGAAAGACATCCAACTTCTTTCCCCTACTTCCTGTAGAATTGGGCAGAATGCCTCTGCGACAGACATCTTCCTCACATGTATCCTCACTTTGATCTTTACTCCAGAATTTTTCTCCAGAATTTTGCAGATGAGTGAATTGCTGAAGCTCATACCTGAGGGGCAGGATCCAGTTAGTTCAGTTCCTTTCCATCCTCAGCTTCGCAGGACTGACACAGGGACTCTGGATGAAGGAGCTATACAAACTCTTCACCAATCCCTGCTTCCCCCACCCCCACCCCAGACTTGTACCCGTCTGATTGCATTTCATCCTCACTCCTGCAGGGGTGGGCGAACATGCCAGATTCACAAAGCCCAACCTCTAGCCAGTTTGTGGCAAAGTTAGGCTCTGGGCCAATGTGTCAGGTGTCACATTGGATGTGGCAACTGCCAGACCCCTGCTAAAACTGCCTCTTATATTGGCAGGAAAAGGAGAAGGCCCAGTTGGCAGCAGAAGCTCTCAAGCAGGTGAATCGCAGTGTTTCTGGAAGCCGGGAGCCAAGGTCTGCTAGGGAGCGGCTCTTGGAGTGGCCTGACCAGGAGCTGGATCGGGTTAACAGTTTCCTGAGCAGCCGTCTGCAGGAGATCAAGAACACTGTCAAGGACTCCATTCGTGCCAGCTTCAGTGTGTGTGAGCTCAGTGTGGACAGCAATGGCTTCTCTAAGGAGGGGGCTAATGAATCAGATCCCCAGAGTCTGGCCCCCTCAAACTTCAATGGCTCCTCAGAGCAGCGGCCTGACATCAACCTTGACCTATCCCCTTTGACTTTGGGCTCCCCTCCGAACCACACGTTACAAGCGCCAGGCGAGCCAGCCCCCCCATGGGCGGAAATAAGAGGTCCCCACCCACCATGGACAGAGGTGAGGGGCCCCCCTCCCGGTATCATCCCTGAAAATGGGCTAGTGAGGAGACTCAACACTGTGCCCAACCTGTCCCGGGTGATCTGGGTCAAGACACCCAAGCCAGGCAACCCTAGTCCTGAGGAGACAAGCCCAAAAGAGGCCCCCATTTGTAAGCAGGAGCTGCCTGAGCCCTTGGCCTCAGGGGGGAAGCCTCGGAAGGGCAAGAGACAGGGCATTCAGGCCAAGAAGAATGAAGCAAGCCCAGCTCCCCGATCTCCAGCCAGCCTTGAGGCTCCTAGTGCCAAGGGCCAGGTCCCTAACCCCAAGCAGCCAGGCAAGGCCCCAGAGCCTCCCAAAGTAGGCAGCTGTGCAGAGATTGGAGAGGGGAGCAGGGCAAGCCGGCCAGGACCTGGCTGGGCTGGCAGCCCCAAAGCTGACAAGGAGAAGGGCAGCTCCTGGCGAAACTGGCCAGGCGAGGCCAAGGCACGTCCTCCGGAACAGGAGTCCATGCAGCCCTCAGGCCCAGCAAGGCCCCAGAGCTTGCCGCAGGGCAAGGGCCGGAGCCGCCGCAGCCGCAACAAGCAGGAGAAGTCAACCTCCTTGGGTGAGTGCAAGAGGAACTGAGTGGCTGATCCCTCCACCCCAGCCAGGCGATAGGGTGGAGGGCAGTCCTTTGGCCCGAAAGCATGACCCCAGAGGCCTGGCCCTGGGCCCTGAACCCTCCTGGCTATGTCTCCCTAGATGATGTGTTCCTACCCAAGGACATGGATGGGGTGGAAATGGATGAGACTGACCGGGAGGTGGAGTATTTCAAGAGGTAGGTGTGGGGCTCCCCACTGACCTGCTTGGGCTTGTGGCAAACTCCAAGGCCTGCCCACACACCCCACGTTGTGCCTCAGAACTACCTCCCCATCAGCACCGTGCCCTTAGAAGGCCACTGCAGCCCTTGTAGGCTCTCTCCCACCAGCCTGTCTGCTGGAACCCAGATAGCCACTTAGTAGGACAGCCATTTAGCAGGACAAGGCATTTGGGAAGGGGCAAAGAACAGGGAGCTGGAGGACCATTGCACATTAAGAACCTGGGCTTTTCCCAGCTTCATTCATTTTGTGTATTCACTTGTCCGCTGTGTCCTTACTAAATATCATCATAGACGGGTTCTTGGAGAATGTGGCTTTCAACAAAACAACATGTAACTAAAGCAGGCCCTCGTCAGCCAGAATTATTTTTTCTCATTAATATTAGAACAAAATGACATTGAATGAAGTGATGTCATTTGAGGAGCTGATGTACTTCCCCAGGTCTGCCTGGTCTGAGTTCAGGGGACAGAGGTGAATCACAAAGTGTGGTTGGGGAAAGAGAGCCATAAACGTACAGTCTAGGGCCTAGAAAGATGGCTGGAAGAGACAGTGACAAACTAAGGGGTGGGGGTGACCCTGAAAGCTGACACCTAAGCTGAAAAATAGGAATGAATGGATCAGCTTTTAAAAAAGTATTTGTGGATTTGTGGCAGTGGGGCCAGCAGGTACAGAGGTTTGAGGGGGCAAGAAATACATCATCCTTAAGGGAGTAGAATACAACCTAGTGTAGCTCGACTCAAATAGAGTAAGGAGAGGGCCTGAATCTCAAGCCAGTATCTCTTCACATGCTGTCCTGGGCTCCTGAGCACTGCGTCCAGGAAGTCCCTAAGCCAGTAGAGCTCCCACATTTTCCAGACTGGGGCACCCAGGACCCAGAGGGGCTGTGCAGAGCTGACCTGCTTCCTTTGGTGGCCAGTTCACACAGGTCTGGAAGGAGATCCAGCAGAGGAATGAGGGAACCTCTAATTGTACTTTGGTGTCTCCAAACCCACCAGGTTCTGTTTGGATTCTGCAAAGCAAACTCGTCAGAAAGTTGCTGTGAACTGGACCAACTTCAGCCTCAAGAAAACCACTCCCAGCACAGCTCAGTGAGGTATAAAGACCCCCTCACACACATGTTGCATGCACTTCCTCTGCCCATTCTCTGCCTGAGAATTGTAAGCCCTGAATCTTCATAGATTCTCCATAGATTCAGCCCAGCCAGCTACATGTTCCAAAGGTACAGGCCCCATCGCTTCTCCTGCAGCCACTTAGCTATAGGCCTGTCTTTCCATCGCTTCTCCTTGAGCCAGGCCCTCCTTCAGTTCTCCTTCCCATGCTCCTGAAGGGCCATCATCCCCCAGAGTATCCCCACAAGGTCTCTATTTTCTCATACCAGCTGCCTTCCAAAGTACCCAGAGAGCCGTGGGCCCCAGAGGGCTGCCCCCACCCCTGAAGTTATCAGCCCCAGGATTGACTGCCTGACTTGCCTCTTCAGTGCAAGCAACCAGGATGCTTCCCTGCTGAATTTATGTGAGAAGGAGTCAGCCCTGAGAGGTAGCTGAGCTAGACCTGGTCCCCTGAGGGTCAGTTAAGCATGAAGGTGTTAGTGGGCGCTCTCCCCAACACAAGTTCCATGAGAAAAAGGACAATGAAGCTGCCTCCCAGAAGCAGAGACCTGGCTTCCCTCCCAGCCACCACAAAGGTCCTTTTGTCAGAAATCCTGACATATCAGGTGACATTTGGGACTGAGAACAGAAGACTGGAGAAGGCCTTGGGCTAAGAGCTGGCAGGTTGGTCTTGGTGCCTGATGGCTATACAGGGCCATGTCTCAACCTGAACTGTCCCTGGGCTCAGGCCTTTTCTAGCTGGCAACCATGTGACCATTCTTTTTTTTTTTTTTTTTTTTTTTTAAAGATTTATTTATTTTATGCATACAAGAGCTGGGGTGTAAGCCAGGGGTTGGGGGTGGATGGGTTGAGAGGACTCACCAGAGACACTGGGGAACAGAACAGGTGGACTGACTAAAATATACTGCTGAGGAGATCAGCGGATGAGACAGGAGAGGTCAGCTGCACCATGTGGGTTAGCTCCCTAGCTGGGGATCGAATTCGTGCTGCAGTGGCTGCCGACAGATTCATAGTGCTGAGACTTAACCCCTTGCGCCACCAGGGAGGGAGGCCCCACATGGCCATTCTTGAGGCAATAGGAACCTGGGGCAGGAGCGTCCGGTTCAGACTGCCCAGGAGTGTATTCTCACGTGTCCTCTTCCCCTTTGCTGTGCCAGCACAGCGCCTCTGACCCAGGACAGCAGACTTCCTGGCCTCTCGGCCAAATTTGCTTGTCCTCTTTGGATCAGCATCCGCCACCCTTGACACCCCAGATATCCCAGGGGCAGTCCAGAGAACCTGAAACCAAGGCACCTTGGGACGCGACTCCCTGTGGCACCCGTGTGATCCCAAGGTCTGGATGATCTGAGTCACCTTAGCTCTGAGCTGGGCTCCGAGGTCCTTTGCCAAGGGCCAGGGCACCCTTCTGCCTCTTCCCTCCACCTCCACAGGAATCCCAGACACTTTGTATCGGTTGCACCAGTGCCCCTGTCATCCAGGAAATTTCCAACTTTCTCCCTTACTCCTTTGATATCTTTTCCCAGACAGGAGCTCCTCCCTCCCCCACCTCCTTGAATCTTTTCACCCTCCTCAGAACAGGATGGGGATAAGGCAGTGCTGGCACAGGCTTGGCCCAGCCCAGGCATCATGGCACCTGGAGCCTAAGGCAGGAGTCAGAGAGGACATTCCTGGCCTGCTGGTGGGAGAGCAGATGCAGAGGAGGGCTCCTACTTCACCTGCTTGGGATGGTGTGCTGCCAGGGTGGGCAGGCTCCCCCAGGATTTTCCCCCCACATTCTGAGATCTACTACAGAACCTCAGGGCTGGGACTGTCATTTGTCAGGGTTTCAACCTTAATCTGCACAATCAGAAAATCTGCTCAGTTTATTCAGGCCAGGAAGCAGCTGTAGCCCCTCCTCAGGACATTGGAGCCTCACTGCTTGCTTGTGTTGTTTTTCTCAGCCCCTGTAGAGTGAAGCTTCTTCAGGGTGTTGTGAAGACCCCGACTGCCAGCCGAAAGTCTACAGTTTCTTCCTCCATATCCCTGCCCACCTGCCCAACACCCTCCCCATTCCTTGCCATCCCGGACCAACCAAACGCTGAATGGATGCCGTGCGTGCTGGGGCCCTCAGGACCTCTGCAGAGCCACTTCCTGGTGCTACGCAGCCTCCACACTCAGAGCCCGGTGGCTGGGCTGGCCTGTGGGCCAGGGGCTGATGGTACTGCTGGCCCAGCACTGCTCTTTGTGTTTGGTTTTTGTTTTTGTTTTTGTTTTTCGATTCTTTACTTTTGATACTGTGAAGATCTTTCCTGCGAAAGATAAAGCAACATTTGGACACAGAGTCAGTGTATTGGTTTGTGATGAGTAGGGGTGAGGTGAGGACCCTACTCAGAAGCACCATCTCTGCCTTAGTCACTGGACTTATTCAGCATATACTTTATATCACCAGTTTGGCAAAGTTTCCACTTAATACTTGCAGAAGCTCAAAGTAGGATTATCCTTTTTCACAAATGAGGGAACTATAACATAAAGCTCAGTCTGAGTGAGAGCCCAGGTATGTGTGACAGTCTCACCTGTACCCTGTCCCCCTGCTCGGAGAATTCTGGTAGTTGAGCCTAGAGGGCCTCTTCCCCATGCTGTGTTTCAGTTTCCCCATCTGTATGAGGGCTCAAGCCTTTATGTGCTTTGTGCCTACAGCCTGGGTGGCTGGAGTTGGCAGGGCAAGTGGAGTTTCCATACATTAGATCTGATTTCCAGTGAGAATGGGACATGTAGCCTTAGTACTTGAGAGCTAAGAAGATAATGAGTCCTATAAAGGAAGGCATACTAGTACTTCCTCCTCTCCCCTAATGGATCTGATTTGTAAACACAGATTTGTAACTCAGGTTTTAATAGGATTGCTAAAAATTACTCACACCCTTATATCCTAACCCTTTGTCCCAAGTGTGACTTTCTCTACTAAAACCAAGATTATATGGGGAGTGATGAAGGTATAGTCACTAAGTTCTTTTGGGGGTGCCATTTTTGTAGGCTCAGAAACCACTCCTTTCTTCCCCCCAGGTTGAACCCCACCACAGGTGCACAGCTAGTGCCAGCTCCTTCCAAAGCAATGAAAAACAGTGTTGACCACAGGCTTCCAATTCCTAAGCCCTGGCCTTCCCCAATCCCCAGGGAACTGCAACGCTTCCCTGTGAAACCTCTACCTGTATATTTATTACCAGTGATCTCAACTCTTGCACCAGGCACCTGCCCTGCAGTTTAATTGGCATGGTTAACTAAAATTCTCTTTCATCATTGACAAATTGCAGGTCTAATCGAGAACCCACTTCACCTACAGAGAACTAGACTCCTGTGAGTAGTGATCAGATGCCAGTGCCTTGCCTCTGCCTCCCACACTCATTCCAACCACACTAATAACCTTGTTCTCCAAATTGGCCTGGCATCCTTAGGTCTTCTGATTTTTGCTGATTATCCTTTTATGGATTCTGCTCATCCTTCACATCCCAGTTGAGAGGGTACTTTTATCATGAGAATCTTTTTGCCCTGCCTTTGTGATAATTCCAAAAGGGGTGCCTTGTCTGTCTTACCATAATTTTCTTTAACCTAAGAGTAGTTACTCATCTATAATTGTGTCTCCTCAACTCACCAGCCAGGTTTGTGTCTTGCTCATTTTCTCTCTCCTTGAATGCTGTATACAGTGACAGGGAGAACAGCACTGACCAGTGAAGCTGAAATTTCTCTGACAGTAACAGCCTCACCTGCTCTGGGCCCGATCTACTAAAACCAATATTATATGGGAAATGATGGAGACATAGTCACTAAGTTCTTTTGGAGGTGTCATTTTTGTAGGTTCAGAAACCACTCCTTTCTTCCCCTCAGCCTTAGCTGATTTTGATAGTCAAATACCTAAGAAGTGTCCTACATGGCACACGCCCAGTCCTACACCCCCTCTCACATCGTGACCAGGCCTTCACTCCTGCTATGCCCTCTAGCTGGTAGCTTCTCTTCCCCACTCCTGTGCTTAGGTTCCACATTCCCCTGGAAGCACTGATCCAGTCTCCTCGAAGCCGCCTATTGTCAGGTACCCCAGGCCTCTATTACAGCATTTACAGTTATAACTGTACATCATACGTACAGATTCAGCTAAAAGCCATTGCCAGCCGTATTTTATCTCTCACTTCTCTGAATATAGATGTCTCGCACAGTCGAAAACTCCAGTCTGAGAGCACAGGATTCGTCATTTATTCTACCGGCCCCACCCTGTCCCCTCTCGGACCTCATAGGGTTTCCCGACCACTAGAGGGCGCAGTGCCCGACGACAGGGGGGTGGGTACCGGGCCAATTCATGCTCTAAAACTAGCCTTCGAGGAGGCCGCTTTCTCCCACCCGGCTCTGAGCCTTTATCACAAGGTCGAAGGCCTCCAGCATCCCATAATGCCTTGCCTGACACTCGCTCTCAGCCCGGGCGACGACTGCACAGCCACTCGTGGGGGCGCTGGAGGGAAGTTTGTCCCTCTGTGGGATCCGGCACTCTGAGGTCGTTGCTAGGCGCCGACGTTGGCTTCTTTACATCTGATTGGACTTCTCTCAAAGGTGAGGCGGGGTTTTGCCGTGGCGCGCATGCGTGCAGCAAAGAATGGAGGAGTCGGAACCCGAGCGGAAGGTGGGAGCGAGGCTGGGGTCCGCGCGGGTGGGGAGCGGTAGTGAAGGCTGGGGGAGGGGGAGACCGGGCCTGACTCTAGTGTACCCTTAGCGGGTTCGGAGCGATGAGGCCACTGCCACAGGAAGCCTCTCCGAGGCGGAGGATGAGGACAACGAGGACTACGTGCCCTACGTGCCTCTACGACAGCGTCGGCAGTTGCTGGTGAGGCCCCGGCTCCGTGGAGGATGAGTGTGGGATGGCGATTCGCGGTGGGATGCGGGAGGGTAGCCCTGGCTCTGCGGTGTGAGATGTCAGTATACGGTAGGATCGTGGCGTCCAGGCCGACTAGGGACTGCGCTTCGGGGCACAAGATCCTCTTTCAAAAGCCAAGATGCAGATGCAGGTCCCTGGGCCCAATGCCCCGCTCTGTCTTGGGCATGGCTGTAAGGGGCACTGGTGGAACCTTAGCTCCAGAAGCTGCTGCAGCGAAGGCGCAAGGGAGCTGCAGAGGAGGAGCAGCAAGACAGCGGCAGTGAGCCCCGGGGAGATGAGGATGACATCCCACTTGGCCCCCAGTCTAACGTCAGCCTCCTGGATCAGCACCAGCACCTCAAAGAGAAAGCTGAAGGTGGGCTGGGCAGCATGGCCAGGGGGGCCAGGTGGAGGCTTACTTTGGCCAACTGCTTTGGTGCCTGTGTCACCTTACGCTTCTTTCCTTAGCCCGCAAGGAGTCTGCCAAGGAGAAGCAGCTGAAGGAAGAAGAGAAGATCCTGGAGAGTGTGGCTGAGGGCAGAGGTATGGTTGTGACCAGGTCAGAGAGAAGGGGGGCCTGGCCTCTGAGAAGCAGGCACCAGCCCTGAGCCACATCTCTTTCCTCAGCCTTGATGTCAGTGAAGGAGATGGCTAAGGGAATTACATATGATGATCCAATCAAAACCAGGTACGCCCTTCCAGTCTGTAGCAAGCCAGTTACCCTTACTTAAGATAGTATGTGGCTGAGGGGCCTCCCCGGTGGCGCAGCGGTTGAGCGCTGGGTTGCGAAGCTGCGCGCGGCCTCTGCGGCGCCGGTTCGATCCCCGGCTGCTCCCCGGCCACCAGAGGAGGGTCCCACATGGCGCGCAGACCTCTCCTGCCGCCCGCTGCTCCCCTCAGCAGTGTGCTTCGGTCCTTCTGCCTGCTCTGCTCCCCGCTCTGGCTCTGGTGAATTCTCTCGCCCTCCCGCGCTTCTGACTGTACCCAGTGCATGTATAAACAAAAAACAAACAAACAAACCAGCAAACAAATAAATAAAGCATGCCTCTATAAAAAAAAAAAAAAAAAAAAAAAAAAAAGATAGTATGTGGCTGAGACTGGCAGGGGCACCCTAAAGCCAGCTGTGCTTCTCTTAACTGCTACTACTTACCCACAGTTGGACACCTCCCCGATATGTCCTGAGTATGTCTGAAGAGCGCCATGAGCGTGTACGGAAGAAGTACCACATCCTAGTGGAAGGAGATGGTATCCCACCACCCATCAAGAGCTTCAAGGAGATGAAATTTCCTGCAGGTACCTGGGAGCTGAGAGAGGTGCCATACTTTGATAGTCAATACCTGTGAGGTTGTATCCTATTCCCCCACCCCCTTAGCACTACAGCTGCAGCATTGAGTCTCAGCAGCAGATAAAGGGATTTGAGGAGGCTTTTTCCGTACCCCTACCTAGACACGTTCACTCTCCTTTGCTATTAGGCAGCTTTAAGGAGCAGGTGACATTGGCCATGGACTGACCTCTGCTTTGCTTAGAGGCCCTAAACAAGTACACATTTGTCCATTTCTTAGAAATGGTGTTGTTATTTATAGCTTGAGCGTGATGGTGTCAATTTTACAGGCTTTAGAGACCCAGTAAAGTACCCTTGAGACACAGGTGACACAGGGTTGTTTTCCATAGCCATCCTGAGAGGTCTGAAGAAGAAAGGCATTCACCATCCGACACCCATTCAGATCCAGGGCATCCCCACCATGTAAGTGTGGGCCTGGGGAGGGTGGTGATGAGGAGGAGCCATCTCTAGGTTGCCATCAGGAGAAATTGGCCCATGTTCTGCTGAAGCTGACCCTTAGGCCTGTCTTCTCCCCGCAGTCTGTCTGGCCGTGACATGATAGGTATTGCCTTCACGGGTTCAGGCAAGACGCTGGTGTTCACATTGCCTGTCATCATGTTCTGCCTGGAACAAGAGAAGAGGTTACCTTTCTCCAAACGGGAAGGGCCCTACGGACTCATCATCTGCCCATCGGTAAGATAGGTTGGCCTGGGGAACAGAACAGAGACGGGACACCTTCTGGTGCCAGCCTCTGCTCTTATACTGCAGCGGGAGCTGGCCCGGCAGACCCACGGCATCCTGGAGTATTACTGCCGTCTACTGCAGGAGGACAGCTCTCCACTCCTGCGCTGTGCTCTCTGTATTGGGGGCATGTCTGTCAAAGAGCAGATGGAGACCATCCGACAGTGAGCAGTCCCACCCCATGTGCCTCCTCAGAGCCCCTAGACCAGCTAAAGGACCCTTGGTATTAGCCATTCCACAGACCCTCAGAGGCCTCCTGTGGGCCCAGCCCTCCAGGAGCCCCTAGTCTAATGGGAAGATCTGTTGGGGTGGAACAGAGGGATGTGAGTTATCTTGGGAGTACAGCAGATAGAATGAGGGCATCTCAGGTCAGGTGGGGTATGCCATTCTAGGCAGAAGGCACAGAGGTGGAGGAACTTCCAAGTGTCCTAGAAAAGTTCTTCAGTTAGTCTGTCTGAGTCTAAGGTACTGAGCAGGCTGCAGCAGTCCCAGGAGAGCTGCGTCTGTACATGTGGCAGGGTGAAGGGAAGGGCGAGATGGTAACAGGTGAGGTGATACAGGGAAGAAGCCAAATGCCAGCCTCTAGTTTGGGTGCGCATGTGGCCCCCGCCTTAGGTTCTCTCCTGGCTCCCCAGTGGTGTGCACATGATGGTAGCCACCCCTGGGCGCCTCATGGATCTGCTGCAGAAGAAGATGGTCAGCCTAGACATCTGCCGCTACCTAGCCCTGGACGAAGCCGACCGCATGATCGACATGGGCTTCGAGGGCGACATCCGCACCATCTTCTCTTATTTCAAGGTGTCCGTTCCACCTGGCTGGGGCACTCCTGCCACTCTTTTCCCTTCCACCTCCCCGCTCCACCCTACCCCCACCACATCTAACTGGAGAGGGCCCTGAGGCCTCTTACTGCCTACCACTGTCCCAGCTGCTCAATATCCCCAGCACCCTAGCCCTTATCCCAACCCTGTCCTCCTTCAGGGCCAGCGGCAGACCCTACTCTTCAGTGCTACCATGCCGAAGAAAATTCAGAACTTTGCCAAGAGTGCCCTGGTAAAGCCTGTCACCATCAATGTGGGGCGTGCTGGGGCCGCCAGCTTGGATGTCATCCAGGTGGGCAAGTCCTTCTAATAGGCACTCTCAAATGTGACAGCTGGAACTGGTGAGGCCCCCCCCGCAATTTGATGAGAGTGGGATTTGGCCCACTTTGTGGGCACTGAGAGTTTCATTCAAAGCCCCTGACCTTGGAAGGAAACATTCTTTGGGTGCCCAGCCCTTGGTGGCAAGAGGTTTCTGCTTACCTCTCAGCTGACGTTGGGGCCCTAGCATCTGTGGCAAGGCCGTGGCTGGGGACCCTGACCTCAGAATCACCTGGCCTTGTCCTTGTGATGGCAGGAGGTAGAATACGTCAAGGAGGAGGCCAAGATGGTGTACCTGCTCGAGTGCCTGCAGAAGACCCCCCCACCTGTGAGTGCAGCCAGCAAGAGAGGCCCAGGAACCCTGGGACAAGGGGGTGAGGCTAGTAGGGACCGCGTGCTAGGGGGCAATTGGGGAGCTGTCCCCATGACTAGAGTTGGCCTTCCTGGACAGGTGCTCATCTTTGCTGAGAAGAAGGCTGATGTGGATGCCATTCACGAGTACCTGCTGCTCAAGGGGGTGGAGGCCGTGGCCATCCATGGAGGCAAAGGTTAGGGTGGCGCATGCATTGCCGTGGACAATGCTCCCTGCCAGCAGTCCCACCTCTCCCCCTTCCCTGGCTGGCCTGTGTTCCCCTAATCCCTGGACTCCTACTCTAACAGCTCCTGCTTTACCCTTCCAGACCAGGAGGAACGGACCAAGGCCATCGAGGCTTTCCGGGAAGGCAAGAAGGATGTCCTAGTGGCCACGGATGTAGCCTCCAAGGGCTTGGACTTCCCTGCCATCCAGCACGTCATCAATTATGACATGCCTGAGGAGATAGAGAATTACGGTGGGGCATTAGGGGGATGGGGATGCCAGGGCTAGAGACCAGGCACAGCCCCCGAGCAGTGAGCCAGAGCCTCTGTTTCTCTCTGCAGTGCACCGGATCGGCCGCACCGGGCGTTCAGGAAACACAGGCATTGCCACTACCTTCATCAACAAGGCCTGTGGTGAGTGAGCCACCAGGGCCACCTCAGCTG